CATCATCATCATACCACTATCACCATCATTATCATCATCATCAACCACTATCATCATCAACCACTATCACCACCACCACCATTATTATCACTGTCATCTTCATCACCACCACTATCACCACAACTTGGACTTCGAGCCCGTTTTCCAATCCCTTATCTAACTCGCCTTTTGCTGTTTGTAATATCTACTATTTTTGTTTTAACGTAGTTTTGTAAATTTTAGTTCGATTAAAGCTTCTTCCACTATCACTACCACCATTACCATCGTCATTTCTGTCACTTTCACAACGATTACCATCACCATCATCACCACCATCACCATCATCACCTCTATCTTTACCAGATCACTCCATAAACACGCACCTATGATATTCTCATCACTCAAAATCCCCGCCATCCAGGTTTGATCAGGATAACTCGAAGGCAGCAGATCCACAGTCTTGTTCACATTACACATTCTGAAAACACCCGATGCTTCGTAAGTCTCCCGATCACATCCTTTCAGAATATGATCAGTGTCCATGGCAACCTTTGCAGAGAAGTTGGCATACTGTCGACTTTCACCGCACATGTTGAGACGAATGCTTGGTGTCACACGGATCATCCCGTCACAGTCTTTGAGAAGAGGTGATTTATTCTCTGGTTCCACAAAACCTGTAAGATGTAAAATTCAAAACACATGAGACGAATTAGAACAGAATGAACGGCTTTGAGATGGAAAATTCGAACGAAAATTATTTACGTGCTTTAAAGCTGACCCAGAGCCAATGCCATCCTAGCCCGCGCACAGGCATTGCTCTGGCTACGAGATCGGAGCTGACCTGGAGAAGAAGCAGCCTCGTCCCCAGGCTCCAACTCAGACGCGCGGGTTCCGACGCAAGCAGTGGACGGCTGGAGAAGAAGCGAAATATGCAACCACAGGCCCACCGGCAGAGATCGAACCTGTGGCCCTGCAATACACCCTTCCAAAAAGTACTTAAGCTTTGGCTACAGAGCCTCATTTTTGTGATTTGAGATATTGAGTTTAGAGCCCTTTATCGTGTTACAGGCGACATATTTACAAAATCATACCGACTTAGGGACCAGTCATTATTTATGGCGGGGGCACCGAAGAGAAAAGGGTTGGGTAAACAACATTTTAAGTGAGTAAAAGGTTGGATAAATCCGTAAATGAAAACAAAACAACTCAAGGGTTTGGTAATAAAAATGTGTTGTCATTTCCATAGCATGACTCACTCAAATACTGAAGACTACAAACAAATATGTCAACCAGGGGCGGGGCTAGCTAGACCTCTTTGAATGGGCGGAGGGTGTAAATGAATTTTGCCGAGTTACTCACTTTCCTTCCTATCCAATTCCATGTTTTGCCGACTGGGATTAAAAATTTTGCCGACTACATGATGACTGGAGGGTTGCTAGGTCTCAGTAACAAGATAAAAGGTTCCAAAGCCAATATCTTAATCCCGAAAACGAAGCTCTATAGCAATGGCTAAGTACTTTCCGGAAAGATCTATTCCAGTGGAGTGCTTGACCACTCAGACACAGTGTCCAGTTGTCAAGAGGTAACGACAAGTTCGTGTATATAAACTACACAATATAAAAATTTCACAACTTCACAACAAGATGTTTTCGCAATAGGCTTGTAGCCTTGGGTTAAAACTGTTAAGGTCTGTAATCTGATCTCGATAATTACCTGGAGTACAGTCCTTATCCACAATGATGTTAACAGTGGCCGCTTCTTCAGAGATTCGTCCGCCGCAGTCTTTCGCCATGACAGTAAAGACATACGTGTCGGGAGCGTCACCCCCCAGAGGCTTAGCAAGACTGATCACACCTTTGTTATTGATCTGGAAGGGCATGTCAGAAGTGCGGATGAAATACTCGCAAATGTTACCAAAATCTGCGTAGGTGTCGCTATCTTTTGCTTCGACCTGAAATGATAGGGCATTGCCACGAAACGATTAGAATAGATTTTTGGATTATTTTTAATATGCGCAGGGGACCTGGAAGCAACGTAAAGCTGCGGGGGCATCCATTTAAAAAGGATACTTACTGTACTTCTGAATCTTTGTGGGCCGCAGTGCAGTTAGTTAAAATTTTGCTGTACGAATACTTGATTATTTGTAGCCAGTATAGTTGGACAAATTTCGGCATTGATCGGAACATTTTTAATCCTTACATGACGACTAAAATGCATTGTAAAACAACATGACGGCTTCTCACTAATTATTTGGGATCGGAGGCTTTTTTTTGACTTATTTTTTCATAAATGTGGAAACTTTGGTAACGTTTCTGAGAGGAATTTCGGATTCAAATTTGAATGCTTGCCTTAAAAAGCAACTTTCTAAGTGCGATTCTTGTTGAAAAGATTTTGTTGGCATCCAGTCACTCGATTGAATACTAGTTGAAGCTTCTTGGAGATGAAAATTATGGAGTGGAAATTTATATATTAAATTTATATCAAATACACCCGATAATTTCCATCTACAAGACCCTTGAACTATTATTATTCAATCGAGTGAAATGCCAACAAAATCTTGATATTTACTCATACCTTAACATGGCAGTACCCTAGGCCTACCGGGTGGGGCAAAAAAGTACGACTGTTTGATTTACAAAAAAGACTTAAAAAGTAAAAGAGGTATCACACTTAAATAAGTCACCGTATAATCAACGATGCTTAACTTAAATTTTGATATATGTCTTGTACCTTTCATGCAATATTAACTGATATAACTGTGTTTAACTTAAGCAAATATTCTTGGAACCGCCGAGAATTATCTGAAAAGGCCCAATTAAAACCAATTGAATAACCGTTACCATTTTATCGCGATTATTGTTTAATTATACTGAGTTGGTTTGACGAGGTCAGTTTTTCTGGGTTTATACTTTGTTGAAAGAAATCTCGACACGAAAGAGTCGAATCATAAGTTACAACGTTGTACAGAGAGACTTTCGTGTTCACAATTTCGATAAGGATGACATTTGGTGGCAGGAAGATGAAGCTAGTTCTTATACCAGCAATACCTTCGGAAATAATTCCCTGGCTGAGTTATGAGTAAAGGCGACGACTGGCCTTGGCCACATTGCTCTCCTGATCTAACAGTATGCGATTTTTTTCTTTGCGGCTATTTGAAACATAAAATCTGGAATCTGCCACATGATCAGCAACCACACAATTTGGGTATATATTAATATTTAATAAGCCATTTTTAGCTAATTTCGTCAATTCCAAAAATGTTTATTCCTGTTTAACTGCATGTATCTTTGTCAATATGGTATCGAAATGTGCATGGCATATATCAAAATTTAGGCTATGTTGGATATCGCTGAATGCCACTAAGCTTGTTTTAGTGTCATTGCTCTTTTAGTTTTGCTTTTGCAGCAATTCAAACAGTCGTACTTTTTTTTGCCACACCCAGTAGTATATATTCATGAACTTATGGTTAGAACCTGGTTCACTTTATAGCCTGGTTATTTTCGAAAACGACGTACTACTTCGTAAAACTAATTTAGTTATTTGCCATCTTAAATCTTGCATTTATCATGTTGAAGAATTAGAGTAGTGATATACTATAATTTGGTTACAGAGCGGTTCAGTTGTGTTGCTATCTAATCAATATACACTCATGCTGTCTAGTTAATATGATGACTTTAGGACTCCCTAAACCACTCCCCACACCCACCTATTTTATCCACACAGCCACCCACTTCCAGAATAATTCTGAAAACCCTGCCAGAGTTAACTGTTGATGACTGTGTCACCAAAAAAACGTCTACGCTATGCCACTGTTGAAGTGGAAAACGTTAGTTATTAAATATATACTGTAGCTTCTAGCTTAATTTACCTGCACAATGTTAGAGCTAACTTCTCCCTGTTTCACTCGACCAACGTACATCTTCTTCTTGAACACAGGGGAATGTCTGTTCTGCGGCACAACTATACAGTGAATCTTCACTGGAGGAGAATTTCTCGGCGGATCGCCGCCATCCCAGGCTTGCAATGAAAATTTGTACGAAGCCATGCGGGATGCATCAAACTTGTACCCTCGTGTTGGCATGATCGTGACGATACCTTCCAATAGATGAGAATTTGTTAAGTTAGCAAGGGTTAGACTTAGTTCAAACGTCGAACTTCACATAAACTGATCTCAATTTCAACAGTTAAGTTGAAGTGAAGATCGAATGATCGACATTGGGATTAGTTTTTTGGGTTTTAATTAGGACCGATCCAACACTGATTAACGTCTGTTTACACTATATGACGCTGCGGCAAATTTACCGTAGCGTATTCATTTGCATCCGGAGTGCCAAGAGTAGGGGTCGTAGTTGGTACACTACGACAAACCACTTCGTTATAGTGTAAATACAATCCTAACAAACGTAGTGAATTTTTAACGGAATGCTATAACCGTAGCGTCGTTCGACAAAGTTCCATCGACATCTTCGAGTTGGATTTGGACGTCGAACTTCACAAGAGCCAAATATATTTATATGCATGCCATTATACCGCTGATCACAAAATCATTTCTGGATCTTGAAAAAAATCCTTTATCAATGCATGTTCTCAAAGAAATATATGTAAAGAAATCTGGAAAAGACATTTGTGAATCAGAATTGTACACGTTAGTAGTTTCATTTTACTCAAAACACAATATTTTTCAAAAATAATTACAAGATAGGTTTACAAAAGCAAAATCCGCACTAAAAACGTCAATAAATATCGGGCTGTTGTGATTTCGCTGTTACTCGTAATGAGCGTCAAGATGGCGCCATATTGGGGTAAAGGTGGTATATTGTGATTGTCATACCTCCTTAACGAGTCGGTGACCCCGGCTTTTTTGTGTGATTTTACTTTAAGTATATCATAAACTCCATGCCTGGGCAGTTTCAGCGCATTCTCATTTCGGGAACAATTACTGAGGAATTACCTTAAGTCTTGACCACGTCATACACAGTAAAAAACGCATGGCCTGTAACAGTGTTGATGAAAACAAGCCTGAACAATATTTTGCTGCCCATATTGTTCCTGGTTGTTAAGAATATTGTTCAGCCTGAACAATGCTGAAAAATTGTTAACAACCAGAAACAATATAGGCGGCAAAATATTGTTCAGGCCTGTTTTCATCAACATTGTTACAGGCTGGGCGTTTTGTGCTGTGTAGACCGAGGCCTAAGAAACAAACCCACGATCTTAGCGATGAGAGGCGCTTGTTCTCAGAATGGATGATTCCGGCTGTCGACTAATTTTTGATCTAGTTGACAAGAAAGACGAAATCTATCATTATAGCTCAAAAAAGCATCCTAAAATTAGTAAAATTGCAAAGTTTGGTTGCGAAATGTTGTAAAATACAAAAAAAAATATAGCCTTGTGGAATGGATGAGTTGCCGGTTCGCAGGCCCCCTTTGTTTTGCGCGGCCAATTGCCCCCTGGCGATCCCATAATACATTGCATTTGCACATTATGCAATGTATTATGGTATCGCCAGGGGGCAATTGGCCGTGCAAAACAAAGGGGCCCTGCGAACCGACAACTCATTCATTAATGAGCAAATTTTGAGTATTTTAGTATTACGCGCGGAAAAATGCACCACTTTTGAGCCGAAAGTGGTCATTTTTCGCGCGTAATCCTTAAAAACTCAAAATTTGCTTATTAATTCCACAGGGGTATATATTTTTCGTATTTTACAACATTTCGCAACCAAACTTTGCAATTTTACTAATTTTAGGATGCTCTTTCGAGCTATAATGATAGATTTTGTCTTTCTTGTCTAGATAAAAAAATAGTCGACAGCCGGAATCGTCCCCGCCCCGTACCCCTGTGATAAATTAAAGTGTTTAGAACTTGGAAGCGATAGAAGTTTATCCAGTTTAATTAACGTAATGGAAGGAAATGCTGAAACTTACCAGAAACTTCTTGAAGCTCAAGAAGAAAGGGTTCATCACTCTCCCAGATTTGCACTTGCGAGATCTTCCCAGCAGGACCAGGGTCCCTATCGGTCGCTCTTATCTCAGGGGAGATCTTCACATGACCCGTCTCCTCCTGGATACGACAGTAATACTTATCAGCGTTAAATTGTGGTCGATATTTATTGTGCTGCAACACATTGAATATAACCCATGTAATGGTTTTTTCATTCTTGCAATTTTTGTTGTTAGCAACTGCTTGTACGATAAAGCTGTGTTGGTCGTGCTCTGTGTAGTTGAGGCGCTCCTTCAAACTTATTTTGCCCGACTGAGGATGGATTTTAAACGGGACTCTATCTTCCTGGATGCTGTAGGTAATTCCAGTTTCTCCACAGCCAAATGCTTTTAGGTGTTCTCTTGTGAAGCCGATACCATGGCTTTCTTTGATTTGAAAAGTAAATCTCGAGTGCTCGAATTTCAGATAGCTGGGCATACGATCTAGAAATTTAGACAATGCATTTACGAATAAAGCTGTCTGATTGAAATAAAGTTGTTGTTGTTGCTCATGCGGGTATCGTCGATGTTGTTGACAAGGTTCGTGGTGATGATAATGGTGTTTACTGTTGACTGTTGATGCTGGTGTTGGTGTCAAGTTGTTGTTGTTGTTGCTGTTGTTGATGCTGATGTTAGTGGTGATGATGTCAAGTTTGTGTTGTTGCTGTTGTTGTTGTTGTTGTTGTTGTTGTTGTTGTTGTTGTTGTTGTTGTTGTTGTTGTTGTTGTTGTTGTTGTTGTTGTTCATGTTGTTGCTGCTGTTCATGTTGTTGTTGATATTGTTGGTGAAGGTGTCAAGTTGGTGTTGTTGTTGCTGCTGCTGATATTGGTGATGATGGTGTCATATTTGTGTTGTTGTTGTTTTTGTTGCTGTTGATGGTGTCAAGTTGTTGCTGTTGTTGTTGTTGTTGTTGCTTCTGTTGTTGTTGCTGTTGTTGATGCTGATATTAGTGGTGATGATGTCAAGTTTGTGTTGTTGTTGTTGTTGCTGCTGTTGTTGTTGTTGTTGTTGCTGCTGTTGTTGCCGCTGCTGCTATTGTCGCTGCTGTTTTTATTGCCGCTGCTAGCTGTTGTTGTTGTTGTTGTTGTTGCCGCTGCTGCTGCTGTTAATCGATGTTAGTGGTGTTGTTGTTGTCGTGTTTCGGTATTGGTTCTTTACTTACTGGCAGTTTTTGGAGTTTGGTGATTTCGTTGTTGTTCTTGTTGCCGTTGTTGTTAAAAGTGTTACGTTAGTTGCGTTGTTTGAGTACACTTGTGTTGCTGCGTACAATTGCAGTCACTGTGGTTTCTTGCTGTTGCGCTTTTAGAAAAAAAGCCTTTACTCTGATAGCATGATTCATTCATTAGATTTGAAAAGGTAATCGGTTCGAATAATTTCCGCACCAGAAGAGAAAATCCGTTGGAAAAGGAAGTCACGAAGACCACGAATGTCTAAATTTATCGTCGCTTTGTAATCCTGTAAATTATCCCGGGAGGGGGTAAACCACACCACAACAAACTTTCAACATGTTTATTTTCAAAGCAACTTTACATTTGAAAGAAAACAAAAAGACTACACGAAGCCGACGCTGTCATATAAACCGGCATTTCAATCATTCATGGGTATATATTCGCGTTGTTTTGTAACCTACTTCACCCTTTTCACAAGTTATTCACATAGGGAAAAGTGTTGAAATATAGCCGCATTCTATTCTTAGAACGAATGATGATTTGTGACGTCATGGTAAATATGCCTTCGCAATTCATTATCAGCGGTAACTTCACTGCGCTTGCGCATTGTGCATTTGTGCGGAATTTGGGAAACCACGCGACTGCTGTTTGTTCTATTTTTTCCAAGTAAAACTCTGATATAAAGCTGTTTTTTGAGGTAAGTTGAAAAAAATTATCGTGTTTAAACCAGCACTTTATGTCGCTGGAAGCATTCATCAAGGTGACGAAATGTTTAGTGCGGATATTTCACGGGGAAGGCAATGTTCATATGAGTTTTTCAGCGTTGTTTATATGTGCCCCAGTCTATCCAACACGACATTTTACTATAGATCAGTTTAATATTGAAAGGACAAGGTGATAAACTGTATTTAAACGCTCTTGGGAATGGTAAAATACCTGCAATATTAAACTTTCTTTTGCTATTCACTCACAGTTTATGAACGGGAATTCGGATCAAGGAGGAATTTTTGAGGTTAGTTTTGAAAGGTACTGTATATTGCATATTTTTGGATTTGGACGACTGTCTCATCTCTTGGGATTGGCCAGGGTGTTTTGGGTATATGGTATCTAACGAGTTTTTAATTCAGGAATATGGGTATTTGGTATATTCAGATTTTGTGAATTTCTGGTATAAAGTTTACAAAAGTAATTTTGAGCATCTTTTCGGGTATTTTGATAGATTTTTATGAGGTATTTTTAATAGTAATACCACTAACCCAGTTGGACAACCCCGTTCTAATTTAATTTAATTTTAATTTATTAACTTTGCCAGATAGTCTTAACAGTTATTACAAAGTAATAATTTAACTAATTAACTAAATAGACTATATATATGGCCAGGCCTTAAAATATCTTTTCCAGGGCCGTCTGACAAAATGTCTGGTGACGTTGAGTTTGGGTCGGACATATGTCCGATGACCTTCAGTTCAGTTTTGAATGCCAACACAAATGAATAAACGGTAAATGTTGTAAAGATATTAAATACTTTGTTTCTTTCATACTTATTTCCAAGCAGAAATTAACTTGCTTGCCAGAACAGCAGTATTAAAAAAGACTTAAACAACTTAAGCCCGTTTTCCACTTCACCATTTCGGTCGTCGCCCACGCTCGAAATACTACATTAAAACAACATTTCCAGTTCACCTTTTATACAATAGTACTCTGATTTTCCATTTAACATACAAGCCTCTCGTCCTGGGCTGGGGTACATTTTGATTTATGTCAGACAAAGCTGCAGTTCGGTCGGACACCAATACACTCGAGTCGGACAAACAATAAACCTCAGTTTCACTTTGGTTGGACAGAATGTCCGGTGGTTTCCTCTCTACGTCGGACAATTTCATGAATGGGTCGGACAATGTCCGTGACTGACCGATATTTTGAGGCCTGTAAATGGCAGGGTATTTGCAACAACGATTAGCCAATTACTGCGAACCCAAGAACAATAGTACCCAATACGCTAACATCAAATAGTTCTCTAACTGTGATGGTTCTTTTATGGTCTTGGACATTACAAATTGAAAGCATTTAGCTTTCTTTACTAGATGAGGTACAAATGAACACACAAAAAATTTTGCTCTTTATTTGACACAAATCTAACCATTATTTCTACCAGTAACAAAAAATGCATACTTTACATAGAAATTTATAAGAAAACAATCAAATATCTGTAGTTTGTATTGACCATGTATTTTATTAATTTATAATAGCATACCCACTTTGACTATAACAGCAACTAAGGCCTTCAAAAACACAGTCGTGCAAATATGATACAATTTATTAACTAATTTGCTAAGCTACCATCACCATTTGCCAAAATGATGGTTTGATGAATGATGACATTTAAAATGCCAAGCTCAAGCTATTAAAATTACTATTTTGCCATTTATATTAAGCTTCATAAGTATCTTCATACGTTATTGGATCACATTTTCAGGGCAGTAATCCAATATTGGATTGCTGAAGGCACAAGCACTTTCTATGGGATCTAACATGTTCTAATAAAATACAAAACAATGGAAACTCCGAAGAAATTCATATTTTTGAATTAGAAATATGAATTTCTTCGGAGTTTCCATTGTTTTGTATTTTATTAGAATACTCAGTGGTTATCGAAAATTCTAACATGTTCCTGTGATAAATTTTGTAACTAAATGTTTCAGAACTGCCATTTCCTGCATTCTGAGATAATGTGATCCTTAACAGTCTGAGGGTCGAATATACTTTAACATTCCAAGGGGGCTAACATTTCTTGGGAGTAATTTTATAATTTTTGAGGCTCAAAAGGGTATTTCTTTCATTTTTGGCTGCCTCAAAACTGGTTTCCCAGCATCTTAAATTCTTGAACACAACTCTTGTGTTTTCCCGTTTCATCCAGCGTTTCCTGTTACCAAAATAAACTATCACGCAAAACATATTTTGGACCTTTAGAATGACAGTCATGTAGAACATAAACTCGAACGGTCTGTGCCAACATAGGTAGTAAAAAAACACCAGAAAACTGCAGTAAATACAAGTAAAACTTCAACATGTTGAGTGAAGGCCCTTCGTACAAGACCCTTCATTGTTTCCAACAAAGGGCCTTCACTCCGACATCGAAGTTTTACCTGTATTTTCAGGTAGTAGAATTCCTATAAAATCGCAGTTTTCCCATGTACAACATAATCTGTATTGCAGTGATGCAGCCTTGTAAAAATGCAAGAATGTATCTAAAAACTGCAAAGTTAACCTACAGCTGTAAAATATTAATTCAAATTACTTATATGTGAAGAATTATGAAATATGTAAAAGGTCTCAAAACCTTTTTAGTTCAAACGAGCCTATTTCCTGTTGGGCTAGCGTGAATATGGCCAAGAAACTATTAATTATTAACTTAAAGTTAAATGTCAAATCAAAATGATTTTATGTGTGAAGAATTACGAAATATGTAAAAGGTTTGAAAAGCTATTGAGCTTAAATGATCTTGTTTCCTCTACACAAAGGCACTTCTCAATTAGAATGGTTTTCATATCCGCTAACACGCAATGTTTCGAAAACAGTTATGCATCAAGTTATTGAAGGCCGTCGCAAAATATTGAAACTATCTAGCGAGTAAGCTGTAAAACCACTGACTTATGCCATTCTGTACTTAAGTGGACCTTAAGAATGGTTATTTCTGAAATAAACCATGTGATTGTTACCATATTTATATGCAAAACAGTACATGTTTGCGAATTTTCCGAATAATCAATCACACCATTTGACACAGAACTGTTTCTAATATGTAATTCAATACCCCAAGAAGAGGGATACATTTGATGATATATTAAAAACAACTTGTTGAGAAAGGTCTTGCTTCGACTTAAACATGTAAATAACACAAGAAATTGTTACTTTTCGAACCGAAATTCGTCCAAGTGTTGCAATTCATGTGTTACAAAGAGAACGCATACTCGCATATTTGTTGATCAAATAAGCCGAATTTTGAATCGTTTTAAAGCAGATATAATCAAATCCTACCTTTCAAATTGTTCCCAAAGGCAACTGTTAGGTAAAAGCCAAGAAACAGGCTTGAAATCGGTAAAATTCTCATCGTTAAGCGTCTTTTAAGTTCGAATTCTTGTGTCTGTATACTTTTTGTGTCGGCCTCATCGAAGGCGCATACTAATTAAGTTGATATTGTGCTCCGGTGAATATTTAACTATGTGGTAATAATTAGCATAATTTTAGTCACGTGATTGCCACACCTGCACCGGATATTGATTATTGAGTCGAATATGGTCTTCACCGCGGGGGTTCGCAACTCGAATATAACCACTTTAGCCTCCCTTGGAGAATATTTGACTTCGTATTATTGTGTAGAAAAAAAGTTTAGGCTATATATACTAGAAGGTTGAGAGTTTATTCTTGTGTAAAAAAGGATAAGAACCATTATATTGAGAGTTCAAATTTCGTGCATATAAAAAGGATAATTTCAGATCACCACCAATCTTCTTTCCATTTTTTTTCCAAATTCCTTTAAAAGAATATTCTTGAGCAGGTGTTTTGCCTATGTGTTGACTTTTAAAACACAAAAATATTTAGCCTGCTTCCAGACCGAGTTTCGTTAAAAGGAAAACCGGAAATTTGGTGGGGCTGCCATATTGCAAGCTAAAAACTGATATTCGGCTTTCAATCAATCAATTTATTTACCACACAACATTACATTACAGATTCCCTTATACTCATATACCATAATAAATATTGGTCCCATTATACAATCCATTATTTGTTGAATTATATAAAAAAATAATTGTTGTGCAGAAGGTTGAGCAGTGAGAAAGCTCGAGAGAACTTGAACAAGCACTGATCAACCAACGGAACTGGGTAGGAGATTTTTAAGAATTTATGTATTCAAATGATTGAGTGAAAAAGGAGATATGGCTATATAGAAATAAATCATAAACTACTCAATATTTATGAATATGGGACCTTAATCTAGCCGGAAAAATAAATAACGTAGCAGCTTCGGTTATATATTTATCTAGTGAGTTCCAAAACAATGATCCACTGTGTTTAAGAGTTTGTTTTCTTGTTGTTGTTCTGACTTGGTTGATATGAACTCTGTTGGCATTCCGCGTCTCGTAAGAGTGAATATCTTTGTTAAGGATGAAGTAATTCCTAAAATGTTGCGGGAAAATTGAGGACTTGTCAAAGCATCTATACATAAAAGAACCAGTCTGAAATTTATTAATGGCATAAACATGTGGTTTGAAAAAAGTGGTTCAGTAGGATCTCGATATCCAGCATTAGCAATAATACGCACTACATGCA